ATGCTACACTAGAAGCATTCCTCTAGTGTGTGGTAGAGCATCATCCATGAGCAGGAAAGATGAGCAAGATCTTGAAACCCTGAGTTTAAGCCCCAGTACTAACACAAAAAGAATTTTTAAAAGATTATGACTTAACTAGTAGATAAAAAATAGAACCCCCAGAGAGCATAAAATACTAAGAATCATGTGAATCACACAGTTTGATTTCCTTTTCTAATTTAGCTTACATTAGATTGGGAGGTATTGCAGCTAGACAGATATAAAAGAACATTTCATGGACATATGCATATAAAACATAAATATATAGACAAACGGAAGAGAGTAAATCTGAAGTAGATCACAAGTATATATGAAAACAGCATAGAGAAATGTAATGGAAGCTGTTGATCAAAAGGGGGATGCGTGAGAGGGAAATCAAAAGAGATTGGGGGATACTGGTGGGAAGGAGGTTGTTGAATACTGTCAAAGTAGATTCTTTACTATGAAAATAGAGCCATTAAACCTGATGAAATTGTTTTGATAAGGGGGACTGTTTTGATAGAGGGGTGAGATTGATTAGAATACATTGTAAATGTGTGGAAATGTAACCATTACCAAGAAGGTTTTTGGGCTTTGGTTTTTTTGTGTAGGCACTGGGGCTTATACTCAGGACCTTTGTTGCTCAAGACTAGCATTCTACCACTTTGCCTTTTTTGGTAGATTAGTGTCTCCTGGAGCCAGGTGTTGGTGGCTCACACCTAGCTACTTAGGAGGCTGCGATCTGAGACTGGAGGTTCAAAACTAACCTGGGCAGAGACTATCTCCAGTTCCATCAGAAAACTGGAATTGGCAACGAGGCTCAAAGTGGTAGAACACTAGCCTTGAGCAAAAAGAGCTCAGGAACAGCGCCCAGGTCAGGCTCTGAGTTCAAACCCCAGAACCACACCCACTCCTGCCTCCCCCCCCCCCCCCCCCCCCCACACACACACACAAAAGTGTCCTGGACTTGCCTGCTTGAGCTAGCTTTGAATTGTTATCTTCAGATCTCAGACTCTTAGATTGATAGGATTTATAAGTGTGAGCGCCCAGTGATTAACCTTGTAGAGGTTTTGATCAACTCTGCTTCCTCAAAAAGCTTGTAGCAAAGATTATCCTTACAAGAACTTGCAAAAAATAAAATAATATTTGCCCATGATGAAATTTAAAAGGCTAGCTCTTAAATTTGAATTTGATAGTTTTTTTCATAGTCTGATTGTTGTAATTACATAAATTATTCATGAAAAGTAGCTTTTGAGCTAATGGAGTGTAGCTAAATTTGAATTTGTTAAAATAGCCCCATCTAGCTGCTTTACATGAAAATGTGTTAATTGGTTGCTCTGGCCTCTTTACTTAATCTTACTTAGAGCTGTGTGGAGCAGGCACTGAAGTTTAAGTTTATATATGCAAAGCCTATAATTGAATGACTTTTTGCAGCAGTGCTTCGAAAGATAACACGGTTGTGTTGTATTTGACAAATAGTATACTAAAATAAAATGGGTGCATACCAATACTGCTTTTGTATTTATAACTGATATATGTAAATTTTTGTTATTTTTTTTACAATGATCAAGATATTCATAAACTCTATTCATAAACTGCTTTGTTAAATAGTTAAAAAATACTTTTTAAGGTTTTGATCCTGTCTCCATTGTAATTTCTTTTTTTTTGTTTTGTTTTTTTTGTTTGTTTGTTTGTTTTGGTTTGGTTTTTTTGAGGGTCCGGTTGTGGGGCCTGAACTCTGGGCCTGGGCGCTGTCCCTCAGCTCTTCAGCTCAAGGCTAGCGCTCTACCACTTGAGCCACAGCGCCACTTCCGGCTTTTTTCTTTTTGCTTATGTGGTGCTGAGGAATCAAACCCAGGGCCTCATGCATTGCAAGGCAAGCGCTCTACCACTGAGCCACCTTCCCAGCCCCATTGTAATTTCTTATATAATGGTTTCATTGCCCCTTGCATCCTCTGTATTTTTTCTATTCACACTTCTTTCTTCCTTACCCCTGGTTTACCACTTATCTTTTTACTGCCTCTTTTGTTTTGGCTTTTTCAGAGTAGAATTAAAGAGTATGTAGTATTTTCAGATTGACTTCTTTCACTTAGTAATTATTCATTTAAGAGTCCTGCATGCCATTTGATGGCTTGGTTGATGGTTCATTTCTTTTTCATGCTAAATAATATTTTATCGATGCACCACAGTTTATTCACTATCTGGAGATTATCTTAGTTGCTTTCAAGTTTTAACAATGGTGATGAATCTGCTTCTTTTTTTTTTTTCTTTTTTGTCAGTCATGGGGCTTGAACTCTGGGCTTGGGCACTATCCCTGCACTCTTCAGCTCAAGGCGAGTGCTCTACCGCTTGAGCCACCGTGCCACATCTGGTTTTGTAGTGGTTTATTGGAGATAAGAGTCTCACGGACTTTCCTGCCAGGGCTGGCTTTGAACCGAGATCCTCAGATCTCAGCCTCTGAGTAGCTAGGATTATAGGCGTGAGCCACCAGCACCCGACTGACCCTTAGCTTCTTCACTTCAGGCACTCTACCACTTTGGCCATACCTCCCTATCAGGCCTTTTGGTTGTTAATTGGAAATAAAAGTCTCATGAATTTCCCTCCCTTGGCTGGCTTTGAGTCATGATTCTTATATCTCTGCCTCCTGAGTAGCTAGGATTACAGGCATGAAACACTTGTGGCCAGCTAATCTGTTCTTTAAAATCAGGTTTCACTATGTAACCCAGACTGGCCAAGGACTCAAATGGAATACTTCTGTCTCATCCGCCCAAGTGCTGGTATTACAGGAATTTGCTACCACTTTGATTTACTTTGTTTTAAAGATTAAGGCATTCATTTTTTTGAATATTAAAAGTTCTTTTCTGTATTTTGGATCATACTCCCTTTACCAGGTGTGTCTTTTGCAGATGTTTTTCCTCCAAGTCTATGGTTTATGCTCTTTCCTGCTACTTCCTTTTTTTTGGAGGGTGGGGAGGGGCGGGGGACCTCTTCTAAATTTTTTATGTCCGAAGATTAACAATAATATCATAAAAAATTAGTCCATTTACAAGTTCATATTTTAAATACACAAACTTTGGTTGATTCAATGTATTGGTTTTCCTCATCAGACTTTGAATTTATATCAGCTACACTCACATGAAGTGAAATATGGAAATAAACTTTGGTAATTTTTTTTCTCAATAATAATGAATTACTTGATAACTTAAAGTATTTCAAATCCCACTATATAACTCATAAAAAATACATATAAAGTTGGTGATTTACCAAATTATTATTTTATTTTTCTAATACTCAGTTCTAAAGAGTTCTAGTGCTAGTGGTTTAGTTTGCTTTTGTAGCTACTTTTAAAAAGAAAACAGAATTACTTTGTGTTAAAATATAGTAAACATTTTATGGTTCTATTTGTTTATTTGCAAAGGATGAGAGAATAGAGTAGGAGGGATAGAATGATTTAATTTTTTTCTTTTTTATATTAGTCTCTTAATTGTACAAAAAGGCTTTATTGTGATATTTCCTTATGTACATATAATATATTTTGATCAGATTTACCTATTATTCTTTATTTCCCTTTCTCTTTTCAATTGGTTTCATTATTATCATACATTATTTGTAGCACTTCCACTCTATTTCATGATTTAATCTTTTAGTTAAAGGAATATATTTAAATAGTATAAGAACTTAGTCTCACCTTACTCTTCTCCATCGGTCAAAAGACAGTTTCTTTGTTCTCTGCTTAATTGGGTTTACGGATAGAATTTCCAGACCTGGGTTATTATGCTAATTTACTGGCTCCAGTCATTGAAAGGGATCAGATTTCTGGCAAATAAGCTCACTGCCTCCCCTAACCACAGTTTCTCTGTTCCAAGGAGTAGTAAAATAAGCTTGAAATGAGTGAGAGGCAACCTAGAGTACCAAATAGAAGAGAAGCAGTTTGTAAACAGGAAAGCCATCAGAATTTAGGTGAACAGAAAATAAATCTCTTAAATGAGTTGAGCTTCTGGTTTTTAGCCCAAGAAGTTTTAGTTTTTTACAAAGAAAAATACATGTGCTGTAGGTTTTAACAACAATCTAGTCAGGGTCAAAATTTACTTATGTAGTCTTTTTTTCAAGTGGTGATAATTTCAAGTGGTGTATTATGGCCTATTGCTGGAAATTACAAGTAAGTACAGGTATTCGTGTACTACTACTTGCTGTTTTAGAAAAAAAATAGACACATGGTTTACTTTTAGTTCTTTATCATTTTTACTACTATTTGTAGTCTAGGACATCTAAAGTAGAAGTTACTAAAAATTATTTGGAAAATTATATTTGGTATTTAAAATTTTTTATCAATGAATTGGTAGAAAAATTGAATTTATTAACATGATTATGTTGTATGATTCTATAGCAAAGTAAAACTTAGGATATAAAACACCTTCTTGTGTTTGTATTAGTATATTAGTGAAGAGTACCTACATTTTTTTATTAGGGAATTTTTTTATAGTTGCAAATAATTGGTTTTTGCTTTTGCTGTATGTATGTTGCAATAGTGTTATATTGCTGTTTGTGATATTGATACCAAACGAAATCCATAGGCAAAGCTTTCCATACTTCAAAGGGCATATAAATTTATAATTGAGTTAGGTAAGTATAATAAATAGGCAGCGCCACAGATGTCTATTATGCATGCATGTTTCCTAGTTACAGACTTTGAAATTTATCTGTTTTATATCAGTAGAGTAACTTATTAAATATTAAGGTTTCTTTCTTTCCCTTGGAAATATGGCCTCTAGTCTTATAAGACATATTTAAGACTAAATCTGTAAAAATACTCCTTAAAAAAAAAACAGGTCAGATTTTTTTAACTGTTTTTTTAAAAAAATATTCTGTATGTAAGTTTATTATATTAATGAAATTCAATGTTAAGAACATCCCTAAAGATGAAAAGACTTTTCAAATATTATCGCAGCATTAGTTTTATCTGAAATGTTTTATGTCCATAGGAAGAACAGGCAGCAAAATTGAAAGCTGAGAAGATCAGAGTTGCTCTAGAGAAAATTAAAGAGGCACAAGTGAAAAAGGTAATATTTGTCCTATTGAATGTTGGAATTTTTATCCATTTTTTGAAGAATTACCTTATTTATGTTTCCCTCATCTATGGAGAGGAGGGGTAGTATTTTTTCTTTCTTTCACATGTAGTATGTTTTAAACACTTGTTTCTAATTCTCCTAAAAAAAGATAAAGGAATAATTGTAACAGAATAACACATTATTATAAATTTAAAAATCTTTACATTGATCTAGATAGGTTGCTTGATACTTAATTTCAGCCTTTTTCATGATTTAGTCATTATTTAAGTTTTAATTTATATTCAAGTACACTAATCTATTTGGTATTGAAAAATACCTTTCTCTAGAATGCCATTTTTTGGTTTTCATATAATTTCAATCTTAACTATTACAGCTGGTGATTAGAGTCCATATGTCTGATGATAGTTCTAAAACAATGATGGTGGATGAGAGGCAGTCAGTGAGACAAGTGCTGGACAACCTTATGGACAAATCCCACTGTGGCTACAGCTTAGATTGGTCACTAGTGGAAACCATTTCTGAATTACAAATGGGTGAGTAAGGTCATTGCTTAAATTGCTTATTAACTTCCAAGTAACTCCAACAATTGCGTGTCAGTTGAAGCATTTTGAGGCACCTTTATATTTTTTCCTATAAATTTTTATGGTAATACTTTATTATTTGCCCTTTCTATATATTATTTTTAAGAAAGGACTTTTTTTAGTAAGACAGGTTACAATAGGGAAAAATAGAGAAGCTTTCAAAATTGTTGAACCTGAGTAGTTTTTTAAGGTATCAAAATACCGTTCTTCAAAGAAGAATGGTATAAATATTCACATTTATTAGTACTAGTACTTGTACTGAAGTTTTTATACTAGCACTTAACTTTCAGGGAAAACAAAAAAACATCAATTTCAGAGAGCAAATATCTAGAATATATTCTTCAGCATATGCTCAGTACTAATTTGGAAATTAGTAAATATACATACATTTAAAATTAGGTAATATTTCTGGATCATGGAAGAAATCATCTTGCAAATTTTTGAATGCTGAGAACCAAATGCTATTGGAAATGCTTGATATCAAAGTAAATAAAATGCAAGTTATGTTTAATTTTTAAGGATAGAATGGGGAAAAAAAACTAAAGGCTGAATAATGATATAACTTAGAAGACTTCATATATCCATTGTGTGGCCTTTGTTAAGTCATGTCACATCACTAGGACATGTTCCTTGTTTTCAAAAATGAGAGAAAACCAGGTAATCTGTACAGGTCAAAATAATTATTTCAAAATAATGAAGTATTGATATTTTGGGGACAGAGAGAATCTTCGAAGATCATGAAAACTTGGTTGAAAATCTTCTCAATTGGACAAGAGATAGCCAAAACAAGCTTATATTTATGGAGCGCATAGAAAAATATGCACTTTTCAAAAACCCACAGGTGAGACGAATGACTTACAGCTGTCAGGGTTTTTTAAATGGATCTTATTATTCAATAATAGCTAAGTTTATAGAGTTACAAAACTGGTATCATCTGATTAGAGCATAATACTGGAAATCCCCATAGGAAGATTAATTACTACTACTGAGGTAGAAAGTAAGCTGGGGTTCAGGAGATTCCCAATCCCACAAAGCCAAGTGAGGTGACCCCTGGGGGAATCATAAGTAACTCTAGGGTTTACACTCTGTAAATCTAGAGTTGTGTTGAACCCAATTGCTTATATGATGTGTTTGTCATCTGATTTATTTGGCATCTTTCTTTATTCCAATGTTGGAGTTGTTACTTCCAAACACTTAGACATTTAATCAAAATGACTAGGTAGCGAAAGCCACAAATTCCACATTAAAAATGGTAGTGAGAAGAACAGCAGCAATGTTATAGTGATTAACCTTCAGCCTTGATCATCCTATTTTTTCCTGTGAAGAATACATATATTTTTATAGAGAACTGAAAAACAATTATCATAATGATCACAGTTTAGGTTTTAGTATGCCAAGCAAATGAGATTATTATAGTCTTACTGAATTTGGAATTTCTCAAAATAATCAGAGCATAAATTAAAAATATGCTGAACCCTGCTTTAAAAATATGCTGGTTCAGATTTTTAAAGGACTTTTCCTTTTTATCTCTGTTAATTTGTAAACTTGTACAAACTTTCAGTGTATCCTTCATTAAATATGGCAAAATATTTGTCATCTGTTGCATATAATAATGTCACCTCAGGATTTGGAAGAAGACAGTTTGTGGAGTAAATGATGACAAGTATTTAAGGAAAAGCTGGTGTTGAACATTGTAATGATAATGTTATCCGAACAGTAGGAGCTTTTTTGAAGGTATAGTTCCCTTACTCCATGCTGGCACAGATACCTAGAGTTTTTATTCCTCTAAAAGCAATAATATATGCACACATGTCTAGAGAATGTTTGTCCTTTAACTTTCATTTCATTGTGTTTCCAGAATTACCTTCTAGGAAAAAAGGAAACAGCTGAGATGGCCGATAGAAACAAAGAAGTGCTATTAGAGGTATAAGTCCTTTGTTCTTTTTTTGGTACATTTTGAAATTAAACCATTAAGCATCTTTTGAAACCCACTGTGTCAGTGCTCCATATTTCTAATCATAAATGTAAATGGAGAAGCCTGTGTTCTTTGATAGCATGATAGAGCTCAATGTTGGAAACATGTTAGGCCTTATTTATTTATTTATTATTTTATTTATTTATTTTTGGATCAGTTGTGGATCTTGAACTCAGGGGCCTGGATGCTGTCCTTAAGCTCTTTTGCTCAAGGCTAGCGATCTACCACTTTGAACCACATCACCACTTCTGGTTTTCTGATGGTTAATTGGAAATAAGAGTCTCACAGACTTTCCTGCCTGGGCTGGCTTTGTGTACTTCGATCCTTAGATCTCAGCCTCCTGAGCAGCGAGGATTATAGCTGTGAATCACCAGCACCAGTCTTTTAATATACTAGATTTTTTCCTAAGTGAAAGCAGTAGAATTTAAAATGTAAGTTTATTTATATGTCTTTCAGCATTTAAAGTAAGGACTGGGAGTGTGGCTTAAGGTTAGAGTATCTGCCTCATATGTGTAAGGACATGGGTTGAATTCTCAGCACTATAAATGTAAAAATGAAAAACATACACAAAATTCTCTTTGACCAAATAAATTGGTATTTTTGTAAATTGCTATTAATCATCAGTTACCATGTTGCTGTTTGGCTCTATTCCTTTTTCTTGACAATCTAATGTGATTTAGAAAAAAATAGGATAGGGACTGGGAAGGTGGCTCAGTGGTAGAGTGCTTGCCTTGCATGCATGAGGGCCTGGGTTCAATTCCTCAGCACCACATAAGCATAAAAAGCCAGAAGTGGTGCTGTGGCTCAAGTGGTAAAGTGCTAGCCTTGAGCTGAAGACCTGAGGGACAGCGACCAGGCCCAGAGTTCAGAGTTCAGTCCCACAACTGCCAAAAAAAAAAAAATAGTGTAATACTAGCTCTGACATTTTTATTAATGCTGTTTAGAAGTATAATTAAATACTATTATATGCAATTCATTTTAATTCAGTTTTTATACAAAACAATATTAAGCAAAAATTCATGGGTAAAAATTCATTTGTGTTTATGATGGATTTTTTTTTTTACATATTAAGCATTTTTAGAATTGTCACAATAGTTCTAAAATAAACTCATGTGTTTAAAATGGAAAGTTCTAATTCAGATAAAAGCAATATGGCTCTAATACAAGACCATGTTGATGGAGTAGAGTGTGATACAACTCAAAGGTTTGCATATATAACTTTTGTCCCCAAAAATCCAAGGATCATAAATCTTTTCTAATCATCTACTTACTTTTTTAAAGGAATGTTTTTGTGGAAGTTCTGTAACTGTACCAGAAATTGAAGGAGTCCTTTGGTTGAAAGATGATGGCAAAAAGTCTTGGAAAAAGCGTTACTTTCTCTTGCGAGCATCTGGCATCTACTATGTCCCTAAAGGAAAAGCAAAGGTGTGTCCTTCTGTAAGCTGCTGAGCCTCCTTTATTGTGCTTGTTCCTTCCCTTCCTTGCTTTTTTCCCTTCTTCCTTCCCTCTCTCCCTCCCTCCCTCCCTCCCTCCTTCCCTTCTTCCCTTCCTTCCTTCCTCTCTGTCTCTGTCTCTCTGTCTCTCTGTCTCTCTCTTTCTTTCCTTTTTTTCGCCACTCCTGAGGCTTTAATTCAGGGCCTGGGTGCCATCTGTGAGCTCCTTTTACTCAAGGCTAGCATTCTACTACTTGAGCTACAGCACCACTTCTGGCTTTTTCTGTGATTTAATTGGAGATAATAGTCTTATCGACTTTCCTGCCCTAGTTGGCTTCAAACTGTAATACTTAGATCTCAGCCTCCTGAGTAGCTAGGAATACAGGCAGAGCCTCCGGAGCTGGGCTGGAAGTTACCATCAGCCTGTAGTTTCAGTGCAGGTCGGACAGACTGAAAGCCTTTGTTACTATCTATTGTAAAGAAGAGGAAACTTGAAAATTTTCACTTCTGTGATCACTGAACTAGCTATCTCAGTTTACTTACCAAATTTAAATTGTAGTTTTATATATTTTTAGAACTTTTACCAGAGTAGTTTTATTGTTTTTGTTTAGGGAGAATTACTTCCTGGGATTATAGTCATATCAACCTCAAATAGTACGTTTGGTTTGGTTTGGCTTTTTATCAGTACCCAGATTTGAGCTGTAGGCCTTGTATTTGTTCAGTAGGCACTGTACTACTTGAACACACTTCCAGCCTGGCTTTTGGCTGGTTACTTTGAAGCTAGAATCTCAAAGTCTTTTGCCCTTGCTGGCTTCAAACTGAAATCCTCTGCATCTCAGTCTTCTGAGTAGCCAGGATTATATAGGCATAAGCCTGTCTATAATATGAGTCATATGTTTTAGCCATCACTTTTATATTTATTCCAGGCCAGAACTATGTTAAGAATTTCAGAGTACGGTCTTACAACACCTTATGGGCATAAATTATACTCCTCCTTTTTTTTCTTTTTTCTTTTTTTGGACAGTCCTGGGGCTTAAACGCAGGGCCTGGTCACTGTCCCTGAGCCTGTCTGTGCTCAAGGCTATCGCTCTGGCTGCAGCACCACTTCTGGCTTTTTCTGTTTATGTGGTACTGAGGAATCGAACCCAGGGCCTCATGCATGCTAGGTATTCCCAGCCACTATTTTCCCATGTTAACCAATAAGAAAATTCTTAGTTGAGAATTGAACTATATTGTAGGTCCTAATCTCCTGGACATTTTCCGGTTCTTTTCAGAGAGCTCTGTGTTGCATTTAATACACTATAGTATCTTTAAAGTATGATTAAAAATGTCAACATTTTTAAATAAGTCAGCATTCATTATGTATGGCAAAACAGTAAGAAAAATGGTCTGGCCTTTTTATTTCATCATGGACTAAAGAAGAAACCTAAAGAAGAATTATACTGTCTTCTGCTAATTAGGAGTAATTTCTACTTAGTGAAATTTTAATTCTCAACCAAAAACTGCTGCCAGGTATGATACTTTCTTTGTTGTGCGTTGCTGTTAATTCAGTCTTTTGGGTATTTTTGCCTCAGGTGTCTCGGGACCTGGTGTGCTTTCTCCAGCTGGATCATGTCAATGTTTATTATGGTCAGGACTATCGGAACAAATATAAAGCACCTACAGACTATTGTCTGGTACTAAAGGTAAATGCATACATCTCTTTAGGAATTTCAATTGATGTCAGATATAGGTTATTGCACATTTAAGAATAGTTTGGATCCCTATCATGTATACTATTTTGTCCTATAGATTGAAAAAGGAACAGTATGAGTGGGCATGTAGCTTAGATAGCTCTTGCCAAGTCCCTGGGTTGGCTTCCCATCACCAAGAAGGGAAGGTGGGAAAAGGATATAAAGGGTGGTTAGGAAAAAACAATATGCTATTCCATAGCTAACTGTGAGCCTGTTAGCCCTAATTGTATTAGTACAATTATATTACGCAATTAAGGAGTAGATATTGATTATAAACTTAAGCCATAAGCTATAAGCTATATTTAATTATAACTGTGAAACTCTAGTTCAATAATAGGCTTTTTTAAGACAAATTTAGCACTGCATGAGGACACATAATTCTGTTTGGGTTATTTTTCTGTTCTTGCTTAGCAGAGCCATCAGAGGGCACTGTACTCAACCAAGTTCAAAATCAACTGTCATCTAATCCAGAAATAATCCTTATTTCACCTAACTATTAGTCCGTGGTAACTGAGCAATTATTAAGAAGTTTTCTTCTCCTTTAATCCAGTTTTTGATCTTCTACAAGTTATGTCTGTACTTTTTGAGAAGACATTTTCACTTTTTTTGTTGTTGTTTTGGGCTGGTTCTGAGTCTTTAACTCAGGGCCTAGGCACTGCCTCTCAGCTTTTTATGAAGTTCTAAAATGAAATTTTGTTTATTTTTATCCTGGTACTAGGGTTTGAACTCAGAGGCTTATACTCTCACTTGGCTTTTTTACTCAAGGCTGGTGCCTTATCACTTAAGCCACAGCTCCACCTTTGGCTTTTAGGATACAAATCTCACCGATTTATCTGTTTGATGTGGCTTTGAATTAGAATTCTCTGATCTCAACCTCCTAAATAGCAAGAACTAACAGGTATTAGCCACCAGTGCCCAGCTCTACAGTGAACTTTAAATTAGCAAGCAGTCAGATATGTGATTTGCAGATACTGAAATAATTTTAGTACATTTCAGGATATTATCTGGAATCCCAAGTTAGACAAGTAAGTGAGAAAGTAAAGGATTATTTGTCTCGAGTTGTCCCTGATGTGTTAATAAAAATAAAAATAATCTTTTCATGTAGAAAATGAACAGAAGCAGCATGGAGATTCAGGAGGTCAGTTGCTATCGTTGGACAAACACCCACTCAACCCATGGAGTTGAGAATAGTTGTACCATGCCCAGAAGATCTGGGCATGATGGTGCATATCTGTAGTCCCAGCACTTGAACACTAAGGCAGTTTAAGGGGCAGCCTGTACTATATGGTGAGACTTTGTCTCAAAAACAAAACAGATCAAGAATAGAAGGCGAGTATTATGAAAACTGCTGAGAATGATCATGTGGCAGTGTCCTTCAGAAGCAGAACAATCTTCCCAGCCTTAGTTGGCAACATTAAGCTCCAGTTGAATCAGCCAGTTTTATCTTCTGCATATATTGTGGCTTCTTTAAGACCAAGGAGCTTTTCACTGTATTATAAAACCTAGTTGAAGCATGTAACAAATATTTCTTGGGAGATAAATATTTGATGAATGAATAAAAATGAGGTGAAATTCCTCTTCCATTTGTAGAAAAGTATATACTCCTGTATCTATTGACTTAGGTCTTTCAAGATTGCTATGGCCTTTTATAAGAGTGAAATTTAATAGTATGGAAAAGGAATATGTTCCAAGAGGGGACTTACATTTCCAGGAAGGAAAACTATTGGTATTGTTTTACTAACCTTTTGTTGTTGAAAATGTTACTATTTAAAACTTTGACTATATGCTTCAACAAGAAAGTTGGCTGGGGGATTCAATGGTCTGGCCCAAATGGTAGCCTGCTTTCCTAAGTGCAAGGCACTGTATCCAATTCCAAGTACTGCCAAGAAGGGAGAGAGAGAGCAAGTAAGTTGGCCTTGGTGAACATGGTGCTATAATAAGGAGCTAACTTTTGTAAGGTACTGAGTAAAATACAATAAATGATTTACATTGCTTTCTCTCACTACAGACCAGAGTGACTGGTCTGTAACTATAGACACAAAATGTGTATAAGTGGCCGTCTGTTTCCACTGCACTGAGAACACACCCAGATTGCTTATTTTATTGTTCTCATGAGGTTCCACAACCAATAAATTGTGATTAGGAAGTTTTGGAAAAGCTAAAATCTTTTAAAATATCTTTCTTATAATTGAACATACATTTAAACATTTTATCAAGTAAAATATAGTCTTTTTTATGACTGAAAAGAGTAATAATAATCATAAATCTTTACCCTGAAACCCAGCATGATTTAGGACATTTTTTCCTAAGGAGCTAGTGAGTTAGGCCCAGTGTAATTAAAGTAGCTTAAATCTGTTCTTAACACTTGAGTTTATACTTAAGGTTACAGGAATCACCCCATCCATCCCTCAGCTGACAAGTACAGTCGGTCCTGATACAGTCGGTCCTGAAAAGCAACTTGCCCAACACGAGCGTGCATGCCCGCCTGTTTGTTTGGCAGAGGGAATCCTATAAAGGAATTTCTCAGTTCCCCGCTATAGCATCAGGTGCGGCCATGGACTCCTATCCCAGGTGCTAATTTGTGCGTGGCTGTGGCCACTTACTCATGTGAGAAACATTGGAAGCTTCCTTGCTGGCCCCATGGAGTTTCCTGAAGCCTTTATTTCAGAAGGTTCAAAATAAAAAACATTCCTTCCCCCTTTTCATAGTCTAACATGGAGAAGCAGGAGAACAGTCTTAGTTTTGATAGACTATTATTGGCTATTTGGGGATTTCCCATGATGCAGGGGTTACTTTAACTTAGACATCTTGCCCTAAAATTTAACACGTTTTACTTCACAAAACTATGTGTAGGATATTTTGTTTGGTCTTATGACTATGTAAGAAGTAGATCTTAGTTGGCCATTATGGGACTATAACTTACTATAGTATATTTAAGCTTTGCTAGAGTTCTGATTTCTTTAGTTCTCCAAGAGACTTGGTTGAATTTTGCCTTTAATTTTACAGCACCCGCAGATTCAGAAGAAATCTCAGTATATCAAATACCTTTGTTGTGACGACGTGAGGACACTGCATCAGTGGGTCAATGGGATCCGCATTGCAAAGGTATGTTTTTTGTGTGGTTTGATAATAGAGTAGTGAGGTGTTCAAATGGGCATGTTTGTCACTGAACAGTTTAGATTTTTTTATGTTCATAATTTTGCCATTGTCCAGTTTTCTTAAATCCAACTTTCATGTTTGTTTGTTTAAAAAAAAAACAACAGGGCTGTGTGCTTGCTAAACAGGCTGTTCTACCAACTACCAGCCCTGGTTTTTTTCAGGTAGGATCTGGTGGGTTTTTGCCAGGGCCATCTGGGGTGACAGGTACACACATTGCCCAGTTTGTTAAGATAGGGTTTTGACAAACCCACGCTGGCCTCAAACCACGATTGTCCCAATCTCTGCCTACCAAGTAACTAGGATTACTAGATTACTAAATTGTCTTTCCTTTTTTTTCTTTTTAATTTATTTTTTTTGTCAGTCGTAGGGCCTGAACTCTGGGCCTGGGAGCTGTCCCTCGGCTCTTCAGCTCAAGGCTAGCACTCTACCATTTGAGCCACAATGCCACTTTCGGCTTTTTCTGCTTATGTGGCACTGAGGAATGGAACCCAGTGCCTCATGCATGCAAGACAAGCACTCTACCATTGAGCCACCTTCCCAGCCCTCAGTTTTATTTCTTAAATGTCTTTTGTCCTTAGTGAGAGATTAAATAAACTTTTTAATCCATTGGTATCCATGGAAAAATACTGCTGGTAAAAGCTTTTGCAGCTCAAAGTAATTTGGCTTGAGAGAATGTATTATATTCTATGTAAATAGCGAAAGTAAATGCAAGCAAAAAAAGAAAAAAATTTCAATGCTATATTTAAACTCAGAGCATCAGGAACATGATAGGCAAGTAATCTACCCCAGAGTCACACTGCCATTCTACAAGTAATCTACCTCAGAGTCACACCGCCATTCTAAAAGTAAATATATGTAAAATTAAATGAACTATGGAACACTGATTAACCAGATTCAGAGTAACATCCTAAATAGTGCTGAGATTCTGACCTAATGAAGAATTTTGGAGGAAATACGTATCTATATATAATGAACATGACCAAAACAACCGTTAGTTTCCTGCTGCTCTTCTACAAGTGAATAATAAGTGCAGATTTATTAAGAGACTTTTTGGAGTATTTCAGGTATTAGTTCAAACTGAGTCAATATATAGGAATGTGGTCCTTTCCCATCTCATCCTTCCATATTGTACCTAGTAAAGCTCAAATGTCATCATTTACGCCTCTGTTCAGTATGGGAAGCAACTCTACATGAACTATCAAGAAGCCTGGAAGAGGACAGAGTCAGCCTATGATTGGACTTCTTTATCCAGCTCCAGCATTAAATCAGGTTCCAGTTCTTCTAGCATCCCAGGTAGTTATAAATACCTCAAAACACTATTTTGCTGTCAACATGAAGTCTTTGTAGAGACTGTTAGTAGACCTTGTCATTTTAGCTTGTGTCCCTTAAAAACCAAAGCCATACCTAATTTCTGAGTTTTGTAATATCATGGATACTAATGTGGATACTAATGGATACTAATCCAAATGTGGATACATTTGAAACAGGAAATCACTTCTGTAGCCATAAAGAAAGCTAGGAGTTAGTTATATTTGCTAAATTTATTTAAAACTTACATATACTGCTATAATGCATGGGATTAAAAAGTGGTTTAGGGAAATCTCTGAGCTCAAAAATGCATAGGAAGCTTCCTTTCTTCACTTAGTGAAATAGGAATACTTGGAACTACTTCAGAATTACAGTCAAGGCAGCCATTTAGGTCATTCAGCTTTCTAAAGTGACACTCAAAAGGGGCTTGCAGATTCCTACATGCTCTAAAAAGTATGTCGTTTAAACTTAATGCTTCTTCTCTTCCAGAATGTTCCCTGGAGGATATCCATATCACCTAAAAGCAGAATGTTTTATTGTTCATTGATTCAAAAACTGTATGACTTGATTTCTATCTTTTAAGTAATTAGGAACAAGTTTAGAATAGTACCATGTGTACACTCAAAGCAGCATGACAAAGAGTAGGTCAGAGGGACAGGAGCCAATCTGGAGTGCTACACGGACCAAAGTTGAAACTATCTGAGCAGTAAAATACATACTGTAGTGTAAGGTTGTGACCCATGTTAGAAAATAAGCACCGTGAGTCCATTCTGCTATAAATTATTGAATCAAGGAGAGCCACATGCCCTAAACAAAAGATTTCTAAATGATGTATGTAGCTACTTCTCCCAAGGAGATAGACCTTACCTCTCCATTCCTCGAGTGTGGGTGCACAGCGACTTACTTGCAGAGGGCAGTTAACGTCACAGTGGAGAAGCCGTACTTCAGCCAAGTGACCAGAAGCAGCACCATCCATCACGTGTCAACAAGTCCCTTGATATGATGTGATGAGAGTGACTTTTTCCCTGTGGGGGTCTTCCTCCCCAGCTCCCATAACCTCAGCTAATTGGTCTGACACACCAACACTTGAGGGACACTCTGCAAAATACGTGACCAACAGTCTTTCAACTGGGCTTCTACATCCCTCTGGCATACTCTTCATCATGCTATTTTTGAGTATACAAGAGATGAGATCAACTCATAACAGCTTTTAAAGTAATAAACAGTAAAAAAAAAAAAATCTGCTTGTGGGTGCTATGGACATGATTCAGGGAACATTTTAGAAAGGGTACATAGCTATCTTGCCTGACCTCGGCCCAGGTCAGACAGGCACCCTGTGTCCTCACCACCATTTCTCCTTCCTTGTGGTTTTTCCTCCCTGCCATGGAGTCCAGGCTCCAGCATTGCTGGTACCCCGTGCAGCACTTAAAATTCTTAGGAAACACACTTTTATTTTGTTGCTTGGACAACAAATCATATTAATTGCTAAGAAAAGAGAAGTGATCATTATTCTTAAGTCTGGATTCATAAGTTATAACTCTGATATGGTATCATAAAAGCTGATAGTGAAGATTAGATTGAAAATGACTTACTTGTTCATTGATGGTTCATTTTTTATTTGTTGGGAGTTTATTTTGTGTAAGACAAGAGTGTCAGTCCAAAACAATTGCCTTGCACCTAGATTTATCTGATTATTTCCTACATTCAGAGTAAATGCTTTTGGTAAGAATAATACAAAAGTGTTACATTTGATCAATATATTCTTTTAGCGATTTTGGTGTATTCCTTTAATTAAAAAATGTCAGAATCCCAACAATATATGACCTCTTATGGAAATTATTTAAAGAGCAAATATTTCCTCAACTCTCATAAGAAAAAATTTCTAGTGGAAAGTTCTGGCTGTGTTTGTAATGGAATGAGATGAGTAAAACTAACTTCTGTTGTCCTTCATAGCATTTGACCTTGCATAAAAAATTAAAAATGCACTTCATATTGTCAGAAATTATTAATAATCTTTAAAAAAAACTTTTAAACAGAGTCTCAGTCAAATCACTCCAATCAGTCTGACAGTGGAGTTTCTGATACCCAGCCAGTAGGACACATCCGTTCCCAGAGCATCGTGAGCTCCATCTTCTCTGAAGCCTGGAAACGAGGCACTCAGTTGGAAGAGTCCAGCAAGGTAATATGCTATTTTAATCTACTTAGGGAAATCCATGGTATTAAAGTGCTCTTTTTTCCTTTAGGCCCTTTTAGATCTTCAGCCCTTCTAATTTAAATGGAAACAAAATCATTTCAGAGAGAGATGATTTGACTTCCCCTCAGAAATGAATATTTATAAATTGATTCTAATAAACTAAGATCTTTTGTTACTGCTAAGCACTGTGGCTCCTGCATGTAATCCTAGCTACTCAAGAGGCTGAAATCTGATGATCTCAGCCAGTCTGGACAGAAAAGTCCAGAGCACTGTGGCTCAAAGTGGTAGAACTCTAGCTTTGAATACAACAGCTCAGGGACAGTACCTAGAACCTGAGTTCAAGAACAAGGAACAGCAAAAAAAAAATTGTAAATTTGTTTCAAAATTTTAAAACAAAAAAATGTAAGATATTAAAAAAATTTACCTTCCTATCCTTAACAGTTGGCTAGGCCAACGCCATGTATGGCCAGTGATCCTGCACCTGCTCCAGAGAAGCTGCTTCTGGTCCCTTATTCACTGTTAAGTTATTCAAAATCATTCCTTTCTTTTTTGATTTTTGACATTTCTCTGGGCATTTATAATTTTTTCAAATTATGCTTTTATGTGAAATATTAAATTCAAATTTATCCCTTTAAAATTTTGGGTTCTTGAGCTTTGTGTGATAGATTATTCAAGGACACTAAAGAATGAGTGTAACCCGGTGCTGGTGGCTCACGCCTGTAATCCTAACTATTCAGGAGGCTAAGATATGAGGATCATGGTTTGAAGCCAGCCCAGGCAGGAAAATTTGTGAGACTCTTATGGCCAATTAATCACCAGAAAACCAGAAGTGGCTCTGTGGCTTGAAGTGGTAGAACGTTAGCCTTGAGCAAAAAAGCTCAGGGACAGCGCCCAGGCCCTGAGTTCAAGCCCCACAGCTGACCCCCCCCCAAAAAAAAAAAAATTTATTGCACAAGAATAGGGAGTTTTTTGAATCAACTAAAAGACACAAGAGTCCTCCATCAAATAGGCTCTCGCTATGTAGAAGAGGGGATGTCTTTGCGGTGTTCTGGCTGTAGTCACCTCTTCAAGGTTCAAGAATGTGCCTCTCATGAGGAGCCAATAACACCCCGCCTAGACTGTTTTGTTTTTACCCAATAATCATTTTGGGTTTTTGGTGTTTTTTTTGGAGTCACACAAATACTTTCATAACTAAGAATTAAATGAGTATTTAAATATATTCCTTTTCTTTATTAAACAAATGTATTCCTTAATTTGCACATGTAGTTAAACCACATGTGGAGAGGAAGGAATGGAGGAGGCATTAGTTGCCTAGTGTTGGGGTAGAGCTTCCTTCAGAAATGTTTGAGAATTGGTTCTAATGACATAACTTCTCAGAACAGCTTACTGTCATCAAACTCAGACTTTTAAGAAATAATTCTCTTACCTCCCCTTTTAATCAATTCTAGATAAGCTGATCTACATTAAAGTGTCTGAACAAAAATCCTTTGCCAAATTATTGATGGCAAGATCCATATACATTTTAAGTTTTAGAACAACCCAATTATGACAGGAAAGCAAAGGCCTAAGTATTTTGTGATGAAGAAGCAAAGTCAAAGTTAAGTATAGGATTGCATACCTGTAATCCCAGCACTGGGAAAGTGAGGACCGGAGGACTGAGAGTTGGCCATTGGGCTACATAGAGCTCCAAGCCAGTGTGAGCTGCATACTAAGATGCTGAGTCAAAAAGAAAAAAGACATGAAGTCCAACACTGCAGTTTCATAAAGAGTGAAAGCTTGCTGTGCAGCAGTGTCCGTTTGTGCTAGTCTTGACCCCTCTGTGTTTCTTCTGTTACCTCAGTCTCAGGCACCACACGGGAAGGCCAGCACAGCTAAGGTCTGCACCCCCGAAGCAGCCAAGACAGGGTCAAGTTAAGGTCAGGGGCTATTCTCTGGGAACACATTAACTTCAGTGACTTCTGTAACCAATTCTTACAAAACTAATGCTTTTATGTTGATGTGTAATTTTTAAAGAAACATGTGAATGTCCTAATAAGCATTAGAATTCCACCCTATAATTGAGCCTGAGTTGACTAACCTAAGCATTCTCTATGTCAGATGCAATTCATAACTGAAAACAAATGGTTTGCCTCATTTCCTCAGCTTGTTCAGAGAACTGAAAAGATCTACCAACAGTTAATTACACCAAGGGTCCTTCCTTCCCTAACTTTGGAAATACTTGTTAGCTCCATGAAATAAGGGGCCCAGGTGGAGTGATTGACAGGTGGTTGGCAAACTGGAGCTCCCAATTATTCGTGGATTTCCTTTAGCCTACCAGAGTTTCCTCTTAATTTCATCTGACTTTTTCTGTGTGATGACTGGTATCTTTTGCTATGTTTATAAAGTATTTTTTAATGTATTTTTCCAGTAAAGCAAATGTAAAGAACGCCCCCCCCATACCTGCATTGCTGGACTTCTGTGCATGCTGGATGCAAGCGTCTCACACGAACATGAGTGTGTGTTGCGCTCATTCACTCCCGTGTGACTGTGCACGTCTGCTGAGCATTCTCCTATGTCAGCTTACTAGCACTGAGCAAAACTCCCTCGGGAGGCCTTCCGCATTCCCAAACCCAGGATGGCATCTGCTTGATGCGGTGCCCTGGAATGCTAGATGGAGGAGGCTCTCCACAGGCCGTCCCTGAGCGTGGGGAGCCTGGAAGTCACCAGACCATCACCGCCCGGGAGCTTTGGCAGCAGGAAATAGGCATGCTAGCTGTTTGAGGTACCTGCTGGGTGAGGCACCGCTCCTGTGCGCCTGTCGTCCGGGCAGGCAGCGCAGGCTTCTGACATCGCCGCATCCGTCCCATGCATGTCCTGCCCCTTGCTTTTGGTTTTACACGAAGAGCTTGCTCTCTAACTTTCCGTGTTTTCTTCCTCCCACCCCACCCCCTCTGTGCTCCTTCCAGGCCAGAATGGACTCTGTGAGCCGACCCTACGCATCACTTGTGGCCCCGCTGTCCCCACAAACCAAGATCGTGGCCCCTCACGCGGCTTCGCAGCCCTCCCCGCCGCTGCCCCCCCCCTCCGCCGCCGCCGCCGCCGCCCCCGCCGCCGCCGCCGCCCCCGCCGCCGCCCCTCCCCAGCCAGTCCGCGCCCTCGGCCGGCTCCTCGGCCACCATGTTCGTCAAGTACAGCACCATCACCCGGCTGCAGAACCAGGCGGCTCAGAGCGCGGGAGCCCTGTTTCGGGCGCCGGCGGCGGCGGCCGCGCAGCCCCAGTCCGTCAAGCCGCAGATCCCGGTGCCCCCCAGTGGCGTGGTCCCCCCGCCCCCCCCCTCCCCCGCCGCCCCCCACGCCCGGCTCGGCCATGGCCCAGCTGAAGCCCGCCCCCTGCGCCCCTTCCCTGCCCCCCTTCAGCCCCGCCCCGCCCCCGCTGAAGCTCCACCAAGTCCCGCTGGGCCCCGCCGCGGCGCCCCCCGCCCCGCCCCCGGCGGCGCCCCCCGCCGCCCTCCCCCCTCCGGCCCCCCCCAAGCCCCTGCCCCCGCCCGGCAGCGCCAAGGCCGGGCCGCCGCCCGCCGCCCCGGCCCCCGCGCCCCCCGCCAAAAAGCAGCCGGCCTTCCCGGCGGCCTACGCGCCGCCCTCGCCCCCCGCGCCGGGCCCGCCGCCCACGCTGCCCAAGCAGCCGAGCCTGGGCGCCAAGCCGCCCGCCTCGCCGCTGCCGCCCGCCTCGCCGCTGCCGCCCGCCTCGCCGCTGCCGCCCGCCTCGCCGCTGCCGCCCGCGCCCGCGCCCGCGAGGCAGCTGGCCAGCCAGTTCCCGCCCCCGCCCGCCGCCCCGCAGTCGCCCCCGGCCGTGAAGGCCAAGCCCAAGTGGCAGCCCGGCCCCGCGCCCGCGCCCTCCCCGGACTTCCCGCCGCCGCCCCCCGAGAGCAGCCTGGCGTTTCCCCCGCCGCCGCCGCCGCCCGCGCCCGCCCCGGACAAGGGCGGCTCGCCCGGCAAAAAGCCCGGCAAGATGTCCAGCCCCGGGGGCAAGAAGCCGCCCCCGACCCCGCAGCGCAACTCCAGCATGCGGGCGGCGGGCGGCGGCGCCGAGCCGCCCGAGCCCAAGAGGCCGTCGGTGGACAGCCTGGTGAGCCGGTTCGCGCCGCCCGCCGACGCGGGCTCCCCCGGCAAGGAGGCCGCGCCGCCCGCCGCGCCCCCCAAGCCCGGAAAGCTGCACCTGCCCGGGGTGCACCTGCCCGGCCTCGCCCCGCACGGCCCCGCGCCCGCCGGCGCCAGGGCCCCGGCCGGGGACTTCCCCTCCCCGCCCTCCGACTCCGACTTCCCGCCCCCGCCGCCCGAGACCGAGCTGCCCCTGCCCCCCGTCGACATCCCCGCCGTCTTCGCCGCCAGCACGTCGCCGAAAGTGGCCGTGGTCAACCCGCAGCCGCAGGCCTGGGCCAAGGCGGCCGGCCGGAGGGCGCCCCCGCCCACCCGGCCCAAGCGCAACGACAGCACGCGCCTCACGCGCGCGGACTCCCCCGAGCCGCCGCCCGCGCCCGCGCCCGCAGCTGCGCCTCAAGTGCCCACCTCTCCCAAGCCCAGCCTTAGCGTCCAGCCGGGATTCCTGGCCGACCTCAACCGGACTCTGCAGCGCAAGTCCATCACGCGGCACGGCTCGCTCTCCTCCTCCCGCCTGTCCCGAGCGGAGCCCACGGCCACCATGGACGACATGGCCTTGCCCCCTCCGCCCCCCGAGCTGCTCTCCGACCCGCAGAAGGCCAGCCTCGGGGGCAGCCACATTTCAGGCTATGCAACCCTGCGGAGAGGGCCCCCGCCGGCGCCCCCCAAGAGAGACCAGAGCACCAAGCTCTCCCGGGACTGGTAGCTGCCCCCCAACTTCCCACGCTGACTCATTCTACAATCAGCTCACCCGAGCACCCGTCAGTCCAGGGGTTCAGAGCCTCCTGGTTTGGGGATGTTAATTCAGGTAGTGTCCACCTAGACGTGCACACGCTCGCGCGTGCGCAGCTCTACAGAGGTGTGTGTGTATATATGTAGACATCCGTGTGTGTGTATAGAGACCGGACTGAGAGTGGTTCTATTTATTCCTTTCCTCTCCTCATCTGAAAACGGATTTTGTGTATTTGGGGTGGAAGACATAGAAGGGGCTATGTGTCCAGTCTGTTTCTTTCGTCTATCACGTGGATTGGACCAAAAAACTTCTAGTTACTATCAGAAGGCATCTTCTAAGTGTCTGTCCATGTGCAGCTTATTTGTGCATGTTGTTATATAATTAAGAAATAGATGCATAATGTGCTTTTTTTCAGTTGGAGAAAACCACCAAAATGTCTGGTGTATCTATAGGGCTTTTGTTTTTTCTTTTCCCCCCAGTTGGTTGAAGTTAGAACTTGACTGAGACTTCGAGATGCTATTCTAGACATTAAGGCGCACTTTAAATCAGGAAAATCTCTCAGCTTCATAGAACGGGTAACTAGTACAGAAGGGGGAAATATTCAGATATTATATGTGGCTATACATAGAAAATAAGCCCATGGTGTAATTCTAGTTGCAGTACTGCAATGATGCCACTCACATCTAGGATGTGTTCTCTTAACAGGTAAGCTCTCTACCTACAATTCATGGAAATTGTGATACTGTTATTCTGAGTAGTTTGAGTACTGTTGTATGAAGCTTCATCACCGTGGAGGTGAAGATCCATTACAGTATCTCTGTAATATGCTGTTCCTGTATGTCTTTAGATCACAGCTCTTCTTATAGTGTGCTCTGCAAGGGTAGATGTTGCTACTGTGGACAATCAGCATGTGAAATGCGCATATGCGCAGTGCCCATTGTGGCGCGTCATTAGGAAAACAGAATCAGCTTCTCCAGCGCCTGGCTTGTTTGTACATTGCTCTCTAAGAGAGGAGTAAGAAGACAAAAAACCTGGGCCTGGCGTCACTCAGGTGGTTTGTGGGTTATATATAATATGTAATCCCATAGAAAGAAAGATAATACATGAGGCTTTTGATAATTTTATCCAAGGCTACTAGAACTACTAAGACCGTGGCTGGTTGTAGACACGTGTCCAGGTGACTAGTTGTTCTGATGGCACAGTACTGTGGCGGACTGCAGTCAGTGACATTACAAATTATGCATGTGGAATCTGCCGATGACACACTACACTTCTATGTACTTTATATGCTTTTGTTTTCTGTGACTTTTCCTTGATATGTATTGTCTTGTTCATCTATGATAGCAAATTGACAGGACTAAAATGCAGTCTTGTAGCTACTTTTAAGCAAGAGAATAAAAGCTGACCAGTCTAGCAATGATAGTGCATACATCTGGCAATGAAAGGCTAACTGCAGAAATCTTAGGCACTTCCCTAAGAAGCGTGCTAATTAGAGTGGGGCAAAGGAGGTAAATTATGAAAAAATAAAGTTTTACTATGCAAGGTTATGAGTGCGACCAAGAACTCCCCCAAGCGAGAACTGATTCACAGACGAAGGGGCACTTCTCCATTGCCACGTGCTTACAGAGCAATCCGAAAACACAGTCACCATTGTGATCGGTCTTTAAAATCCTTGGTTCTTTATTTAGGGGATCTTTTGTTCAGTTTTGCTAGGCTTCATAGGCTTAGAAAGTGACCTTGGAACATATCTGCATTGTGAATCTAAGCATGCACCGTAATTTGAGTAACCTTGGTTACAAATTGCCAAACTCTACTGGGACTCTGAATGAATTTCCCAGCCTTCCACCCTGCTGCTTTATATTTTAAGGAGCCACCCATATTTGTAAGGTAGGCTTAGAATACGGATCTACTTTTCTAAATGTTCATCTCTAGGGAGTTCTGACGGATTTTTTTAAATTGTTTTTTTTTTTTTCATTTTTTTTTTAATGAGGGAAAATAGTTTTGATTTTCCTCTAGAGAGAAAAATAATGTTTTGTCTTCTTTCACTTATATTAGACCTCTCCATCCACAGCCTTGTGAATTTCTTGGTCTTTCTTGTATTCATCCTGAACTACTGCTGCTGATGTGTATTCTTGGAGCAGACATCTCTGAACACTAGTGATGCCAAAAGAGCATGGCCAGACAGGGACCAAGTCATCTCTGTCCCCAGTCCTGTGGGCTGACCATAGGCTGTTTCCATGTGTTTCTCCAGTGATGGAACTATTCTTAAAAAAGGTGATACAGCTGAATCAGAAGAGTCCAAAGTGACACTATACTTTTCGTTTGGGTTTGTTGGGATGTAGTGTTGGTTTGTTTTCCCTGGGATTACTTGGTAGTTTCATAACTTTTTTCCTCTGGTAGGTTAATGTCACCTACTGCCTGCCAGACAACACTAGTACTGTGCCTTCTTTCACTGCTTTCTGCTCAATAGTTCCAGCCCACATAGCTTCTTCAGCCAGCAGAGAACATTTAGAGAACTAACTTGGTTTTACTGATGAGTGAATAGTATGGGTAAGGCCATGCTGCTATTGAGGGCAGTGCAAATAGGTGCCTAGGAGAGGTGGTGATTTGCGTAATTAGGGACACTCCTTTAATAGGTAATTTCAAAACTGGAAGAACAGTAGATCTATCACTGCTTAATAAGGTTCACAAGAGAATTTAAACATCAGACTGGTCTGTATTGAATTCTACCAGGTTGGCTTCTACTACTCAAAATATTTTAAAATACCTGTGTTTCTTAAATAATGCATAGTTCTCACTTGGGAAGAAAAACCACTAATTTTTTTTTTTACACATATCCCTTTAACTGTAAGCAGGCATTTTTAAAAAAAAATCTGGAACTTTTAAAAATGAGAACGATAGGGTCTAATGAAGACAAATTCTGTAACATTTAAGACATTTTCAAAGTAATGCAATTATTATGTGTTTTACAGTCCTCAAGCATTAGGTGCTCCTGCCCACTGAGAGTATATCTCGCAGAAAACAGTCCATTGTTTGGGCTCCCCACTGTTTACCTTGTTGCGATATAAATAATGCTGAGTTTATCAGGCAAGTTAAAATTGAGAGGTCTTCCAGTAGAATGATAATTCTAAAATCAAAGCTAACTGCAGCACCTGGAAATCCAGTTTGAGTTTCAGATGCAGCTATTCTGGCATAAACTGCTCATCTCGAGTCAAGGAGGTAAAATGATCATTTATTCTGCAACAAGTTTCAGGTAATGGGGTGTTTTGGTTGTATCCCACTTCCTTCAGATCCCTTTGTCATCTTTATTCCCCAGCCAAAACCAATTTTATGTTACAAACACAAGGTACCTTTTAAGTAAAACCCATTCCTTCTTTATAAATTACCAAACTTTTTCCCATACCTTCTGAACTAACATAAGTAATCACAGTGATTTTACTCATGTTAGACCAAGTAAGTCCCTAAGGCCCTGTGTGACTTAGGTGTGATAATGTGCTTTCAATAGGACAGGCATAATAATTTAGGTCTATACATCTGACCAAGTATGACTTGCTTTTTAAACAAATACCTTTAAATTGTAAATACATTTTTGGCACTTTGAGGGTTTTTCTTATTCAACTTTATATCATTAGTATAAAACGTGGTATACCTAATCCTACAAAAATATGCAATCTCTTGCAAAGTTCAGATCTGACTGAAAGAGATGTGCAAGTAGAACAGAATTAAATATCTCACAGTCTTTTAAGCTGTTTCCTTTTAAGTCCATTAACATTTCAACATCTTGACCACTCCAACCCTCAAAAAAAATCAAAAGCCCTTAGTTTTGTGCTGTTAAAAAATATGTGAAAGAAATCCATAATCTTAACTTGGTCAATAAAAGTAAGCAAAACCTGCTACTTGAGGGGGTTAAAAAAAAAAAACTGGTTTGCTTGTTGCTTGAAGTAATAAAACATTGAGAAAACTATTTGCTATAATAATCCCCAGTGCCTTGAACCCTTTTGGAATAATAGCAACACAAATACCCCAATATCCCAACAAGCAAACTTTGAGGTGCTAATGAAAGCAAAGTATTTCTGGTTTGGGCCAAAACAGAAAAAAATAACTCTTGAAAGAGTTGGCTTCATCTACCTAAATGAGATCTGGATGCTTTCCACCAAAGACATTTTAGAGAAGTGAATCGAGTCACAGTGATGGTAAATATTACATATTTGAGATACAGCTGGGTTCAGAAGTGCATATGCTTTTTGTGTGTAGCTCTAAATACCAAGTGCATGACTGGGATTGGAGACAATCTCCTCCTAGGCAGTAAAATGTGTCTGCCCACTTACAGTGGGGAGGGAGAGCATCCTTCATTTTGGGATCTGCCTATTGGTTCGTTCAATTTATAAATTATGTATCTTCATACCAAAAACGGCTGTTTTCATGATTCTCACCTCCTTTCTACTTGTAAATAATCTCCCACCTATGAAATATGCATTAACTGGAATGTTTCAAAACCATTTTTCTTAATGTCAGCCACTATGATGTCTTCTTACAGAGATTTTTAAAGATAAAATATTGATAGCTTGTGCTAAATGTTATAAAAAACATTGTTTACTGTTTAAGGAAAATTGCACATTGTTTAACTGGGATTGCTCCTTCCCTCATTTCTTTCTTCTAGGCTATGGGAGCGTTGTCATTAATAGCTGTAATGTAGAAATACCTTTTTAAAGCATGAAGAGATGCCAAGAGAAACTGCATTATAAAGTACCAGATAGCGGACATTATTCTGAGGATTATGCACAGCTCGGTAAAGATGAAATTGTTTATCTTTCAGCCTTGTTGCTGTTTATTTCTTCTGTATAAATACGCCCATTTCATCATGTGCCTTGCTCCGATTTGTGCAAAGCATATATATATATATATGCATATATATACACACACAAATATATATATATATATATATATATATATACATGAAAGAGATATATTCAGTACTACTGATGTTTTTGTTTTGCTGGATTAAGTTATTTTCAGTTTTACTCTTGCCAGTTACTGTCAGT